ATATATATATATATTTGCTAAGTAAAGTCTAAGGATGATACAAACTTTGGGAAAAAATTTAACAAGTAAGAAAAATACAAAATACAAAGTAGACAACAAATTGAAGAGAAAATTTCAATTTTTTTTATTTCATTTGAATTTAATGAATACAATGTTCCACCTCCATCTATGTAACTTTGATCTACATCATTAGCTTTTAGTAAAACATTGTGAGAAGTGTCATGTCCTTCTTGATCTTGTAGTTATTTTCAGCATCCAACCAAATCCATCAAGCATATACACATCCCCAGACTTTCATCGTTCATGCAACTTCTCCTGTTGTCTAGTACCCTAGTACCTACACTAAAACAATACTCTAATGGAACTATAGACACCAGAGGGTTTAGTAGAAATAATATTTTATATAAATTGCAATTTGCCAATCATCATCGACTATAAAATCATGAAATATTTTTTTATTATAAAAATTAGTAAGAATATATTTGTATGAAATACAACACTCTAATATAGAATAAGTATAATTCCACCTATATTGAGCATTTAATACAAAATTTCTATAGTTTAGACTGTATTTTTTACATAAATATTTAAAATTTTGTTTTCTTGTACCATAACTTTTAATATATATAACACAATTTCTAATTTTGGAAATATGATGAGAAATAATATTTAAAGCATCTTGAACACATAATTTAAGATGCAATATGCACATCTAATATGATATAATTTACCATTTAAACATGATTTTAATTAAGGTTTTAAAATATTTACTGTAGAATCTTACTATCATTATTAAAACTAATAAAAAAACCTTTATTTTAATTTTCATAAGTATGTATAGTATTTAATGATTAATATACTTGCAACAATTGTTGGGCCAGTATGTGTCCATTCAAGTCTTGTAAAACTTAAAATTATTTTTTGCAAAAGCCAATGTCCATCAATAAAATGCCTTGTAACGTAAATATAACTTATATTATATTTGAAAGTTTAAATATTAAATATAAATGCAAATTTAGAATTAAGAGTTGACAACGTAGAAATTAAATATTGTTTATATGAATAACTAATTTTTAAAGCATCTACTCTAATTGTATTGTCATAAACTTTTGAAATCAAAGATTTATTGATTGTTGTAAAAATCTTTATAGTCTAGAGTTTTCAGCTAATAAAAATAATTGTTCAACATGTACAATATATTTAGCTAATAATTGTCTCATTTTGTTGTGTGAATTTTGAAAATTACCAAAAAACCCATGCCTAATTTGTAATTGAATTTGACTATCATCATTTTTTTGAATGGCCATATGTTTAGTCAAATGGCTAGTTCTACCCTTGCTATTATGACTATAGCCACTCTTGCATATCATGCAAACAACTTTTCTTCCCTTCTCCTCAAGAGTGTCAATAGTAAGCATTTCCAAACTAGGCTAGACAGCTTAGACTTTTTTCTTCCCTGTAGTAGTAATACTAGGGGTGGCTTCAACAACATCAACCATAGAACCATTAACACCTATATTGGTGTTGTCGTATTGTGACTTTACATCCTTAAAGACAAACATGTTGGGAAAAGGATTTTGAGAGGAACTGACAATTTTTAAAAATTATAATATTAAAACCCTAAAAAATTAAAATTAATTGCAACTTACTCGGTCCGATGGTCTAAAGTCCCAATTTGATTTCAATTGATGAAGATTTTAGGCCTCCCAAATTAATAACTTGAGATATTTAAGAAAGCGTGTATAAGAAGTATGAGAATGATGGAGGTAAAGTTTATTTATAGGAATTGGAATTAATTCAATTAACCAAAAAGCCCTTTTAAACTAGCCATTTTAGAGTTATTACGAGGGTCCATAAAGTTAATTATTACTTTAAAGTACCCCCTAAATTAGATGTTATATATATGTCAGGGGGTTTTTTCCCCAAGCTAGCTGTTTATAGTTGTTGGGGAGTATTTATGTAAAAAACCCACCAAAAAGCAAAAAATAGTCATTGGAGGCTCTCCAATGACTATATTTTAGCAGGTCAGAGCAACTTGTCTTGGGTTGTGTCAACAGGTCATGTCGTGCTGGGCCACAAGCTTGTGCTAGCATGACCCACCTTTTTTTTGTCTTACTATGCTGACCCATGGGCCTTAAAACCAAGCCCAACACAACCCATGGGTATGAGTTTGAGGCACACCCATCTTTACATCTCTAAAAAAACACCAAAATCCAAAGTTGTCTTGTATAGACAAAAGTAGCAGCACTACAAGAAACTCAAAAGCTTGATTCCAAGAGGAGGGTTTGGTTGAATGGGTGTTAAAACTTGTTTTAAGTCATTTGGCTCTATAAGTTAACAACATTTAAGCTAAGGTGGCATTTGATTGCACTTTTCAAATGTCTGAATCTGAAAAAGTTGCTTTCGAGACGCCACCAAGCGTTTGCTATGCCTTCTTATTAGAGATTTGAAATTGGATTTCAAATCTTAATTTCTAAGAGATAGAGCGGTTGCTAAATGGTTCATATGTAAATTAGAGGTATATAAAAGACATAAATGCCCTTAAAAAAATTAATATTACATGTTTTTATCCTTCATGTAACTCGTATCGAACATACACTCTCTCTGTCTCTCTCACTGCGAGTTTGCAACCTAACGAAGCTCCATCGCCGCTACACACACTCTCTCTCTTCTGTATTCCCGCCACTGCCGTTGCAACTTACAACGGCGGCGGTTCCTTCTCTCTCTCTCGCTCCCCTGCCTTCCCATCGAAACCTACACCCAAAGGATTGTGTCTTATCTCCCAGCTCTCGGTTGCAATCGTTAGACACTATTGTCGCTCAAAGAAGTCATTCTCTGAACATAAAACAAAGCAGATTGAGCTCTTCCCTACAACAACGAATTAATGAATTTAGGCCTAAATCTCTTCAGAATGATCGGAACCTAATGGGAGACAGAGAGCCGACAAAGAACCAACCAGCTTCTATGAACTCCCATCGTCAGTCCATGTCTATAAACATTTCTTTGTTGGTTATTTAGAAATCAAATAGGCCTTTGCTGGTTTTAATGATTGTCATCTTTCATGGTTTTCCTGGTTTTACTGTTCATTTTGTTTATTCTTTTTACTGAAGTTTAAAATTAGTTGAATAGAAAGGTTAGAAAGTTTTGAATTCTTTGCATATCATTCTCCTTCTATCAACTGTTAGACTGAACTTTTATATGCTATATTAGCCATGGCTACAACTCGTAATAGCATCTGAGTTACTCTAATGTTAATCTAAATTAGTCTAATATTTTAGTATCAGGTTAGCTTTAGTTTTGTGATTTGAGTTGCGTAGCTATTGGGTTTGGCTTACTGAGATTATTGGCTATTTGATAACAATGAATTGTGATTTCAGAGAGCCTCCCATTTCCGGGAGTTTGCCTACTATGAATGATCCGACTACCGAGTTTGGACGAGGGGGCAAAGTGGTCCAATTAATAATTAATTATTTCATTAATTTTTAAACATTATTTTAATTTTTATTTGTGTAAAATTTTAATTATTAATTATTTTAATATTTTTTATAGTCATTAATTATTATTTTTTTAATAATTTCATTTAATAATTTATTATTTATTATTTGTATTGTTTCAATATTATTTTGAGGTTGAAAAATATTTTTTTTATGAGATAATACAAATTGAATTCAACATTTCCAAATAGTATGTTTTAGGGGTAAAATAGTAAAATCAATGAATTTCATATGGTAAAGGGTTGATCGAACACAAACAAACTTTTGGATTCAGAGCCTCTAAAAAGTAGAAAAGCATCTATGCCCATTTTTCAGATTTCAGACACTTTTAATATATTTTTAACTTTTCATACTTCTGATTTCAAATTTTATCAAACGCCATTTAATTCTCAAGGAGTACAAATACTAATATATAATGTAAAACTTGTATTTTGTTTTATTTTATATGTATTTATATTTACATACTTATATTTGTATTCTTTCTAAATTGAGCCAAGTGACATGGTGGCAATTATAAATAGAAACCATTTTTTTAAAGCTAATGGAAGAGGTTTTAGTAAATACTCCAGAATAGAGGAAAGAGTTCAACTATGATAGGGAAAAGATATGATATCCGAAAATAGTAGCTAGCAATTAGCAAACACGAGCAAGTGAGTTCAATTTCAATTTCGTGCTCTAGCAAAGAAAAAAAGGAAATTGTTTAAAACTCACAATAAGTTTTCAACATTTCTCTTAAACTTACCACAACTTTTCAAAATGTTTAAAACTCACCATGTTAGTAAGTTTTTATTTTCCAAAACTCACATTCCGTTAGGACCGTTAATGCTTCTTAATAGAGGTGTCCATGTTAGCATAAATAACATTTTTCATGACCAAATTACCCTTGAATAGTGAGTTAGAGGAAAAATGGTTTTTTTCGGTTTTCAATTTTTCTAGTTTCTTTTTTTGCATTTTTAGTGTTTTATTATAATTTTCAATGTTTTTTATAATTTCTGTTTTTTACATTTTTCTATTTTCTACGATCATAAATTTTTATTTGCAATTTCGGTGTTTTTTCTGTAATTTTTGGTGTTTCTTCTACATTTTTTATTTTTTGATTTTGTTTTTCAATTTCTATAGTTTCTATACTTTAAAAATAATTTTTTAATTTTATTTGCAATTTCTATAATTTTTTATAATTTTTATGTATTTTATATTTGATTTTTTTCTTTTTTCATTTTTAAATATTAAAATAATAATATATTAATACCCATTAATTTATTTTATATATATTTTATATTTTTCTATGAAGGTTAAAAATGAGAGCAGATTTGCTCGTCATATCGGGCGCTTCATAGGCACCGCACACACATATCCTTCTATAGATTGGGAACATCTTCCGTACTTATTAGTTATTACTCATGTGAGATGCTCCTAATGGACGGTGGATGCGTCTGTGAAGCGCCCATTTATGAGATGCAGATCCCGGATCAAAATAATAATATATTAACACCCGTTAGTCTGTTTAACGTCAAGTTAACATTAACACGGTGACTTTAGACATTTTGAGTTGAAGAGAAATGCTGGAAACTCATGGTTTCTGCTCGATAACAATTCGAGATGGATGCATGTCGCTGCTCGATAACTGGGGAAATCTAGGGTTTCTTTCTGCTACACTCGTCTGTTTTACTCTTTCACTCACTGCTAAGTGACAACACATCCATTCCCCCCCCTTATTTGCCCTAACGAAGTCATCTCTCTCTCTGTTGAGCTATCTCGCCAGTTAAGAAATAGATGGGACGCTATCGGGGGGTTCCAAATTCAGCAGACGAGGATCCGGGTCAAAGGTATGCAGCCTTATATCCGTTTTTTTTGTTCTTTTTTATTTTTTTGGTTAAGTACCTATTAATTTGCTGGAATTTCGAGCTGATTTTCAGTGAAGTCTCTGCTTCAAAGTTTATTGCTTTCTCTGTTTGGTTAAATCAGCTTTGCATGGCATATATTTTTATAAGTTCCTTTCGATTATGTCCTTAGTGTTGTCTAATTATGTTTCGAAGCTGTTATGGTGTCTACTTTTACTATGGTGTATGTAGCCAGTTCTTTTTTGAAATGTCTAACTCTGTTCTGCATCTGACTCCCATAAACTACGATTCAGTGATTGATTATATGGTGCAATTTATTTTCAATGCAGTTTCGAGAGTTTTGGTTTTATTCATTACACTTCGTACTTGTCATAATTTTGTATATTATTTTCTTGGCAGTTGTGGAGCAAAGACACTGATTTGTAGCTACCTGTTGTGGTTTATATGCAAAAACAGACCTGCACTTCTTAGATTGTAGAGCATAATTTTAAATTATAGGCATAAATCCCAGGAAAATCTATGTATACTAAGATTACGTTTTCCTATTGCCGATAAAAAAGGATTACATCTTCCTGTTATGCTATGCATTCATATTGGTATTTTCATTTATATAGCTTATCTGCAATTTCTTTAGATGGTTGCCCAGTTGCTCCATTGCTTTCTAATCTATATTTTCTCATTAAAGGACCGAGTTATCTATTGTGGATGCATATGGTATTGCATTTTAATTCTCAAGTCTTCTTTTTTACTGTATAGCATTGAACAATCAAATCCTTGAGTTACATATATTTTAAGTGGGTCCTCAGTCTGAAATGAATCATCTTATATCTCTTTAGTAGGTCAAAGAGAAAAAAAACTGCTTCAAGTGGAGAACATTTAGATTCTGTGACTACAGGTACGTTTATCAGTAATATATCTATAAATAGAAAAGAATTCATGTCATTGTTAGTTGTGTGTGGATATAGTTGACTATGATAAGTAGGCTCTAAAGCAACTATGCACTCCGGATATCTTTATCAGAACTACAATATGAAAACCTAGATACATTGCATGGTTCTAATGATCTAGCCAAGTTGGTTTTCTGCATTTTTTTTTCCTTTTTTCTTTCAATTAGTAGGCTTTCACATGTGTCACTACTGTGAAGTGGTACATGCCATCCTTGGCGTGTTATGGCTTTGGTGTACCATCTTTTTTCTCTACCCAGTTATGCAATTTGTGCACTTTTAAAGATATTTTAACAGAAGCTAATGTTTGGTAATTGTAACTTAGCACTTGAAATTGTTCATTCAATCTATTGCTTATTTAGTTACTTGTCAACCTTTTCCAATAATAATTGCAAGTTTTACTGAGACAGTTCAAGGAACAAATGAAGGAAAAAGGGCTTTATACCACTGCAATTATTGCAATAAAGATATTTCTGGGAAGATTCGTATCAAGTGTGTAAAGTGTCCTGATTTTGACCTATGCGTTGAGTGCTTCTCTGTTGGGGCTGAGGTTACACCTCACAAGAGCAATCATCCTTACAGGGTTATGGTTAGTCACATGACTCATAAAACTCTTCCTTCCCATCTTTTTCTTAAATACCTCACTGGCTTCTATATTTTTGGCATGATCTTGCATGGTTTATTGAGTAGCTATCCATCATTTTTTGGTTGGCAAGCTGGGATAGAACATGAAGTTATGGATTTTCATTGTTGCGGTGTCATGATTGTCCATTTTAACTTGTGTGTTTCCACTGGATAAATCCATTTACTTTCTTAGGGAGTTAGTTTCCTGCTTTCTACTAGTTAGGGGCCTTTGGTAACAGCTGAAATGGTTGAACTGAATGACTTATTGCTTTATCTTACAGTGGATAAAATAATTAAAAATAAAATATGTGAGGTATAGTAAGCAATCCAGCTTCAGCTTCAGCCATTAAGGGGCTAACAACCTCCTAATAATTTGTTCTTTTTTTGATAGTTTAATAACTTATTCGCTAAAGGACAAGCAATAAATCATTCAGTTCAGCTACTTAAGCTGTTATCAAACATCCCCAAAATGCTACTCTATTACACTTTGGGTAAATGTGAAGTGGTTGTATTTGAAACTTTGAACTTTGAACCTTGAGTACACTCCAATTCACACGCACCTTACAAACTTAGAAAGTAGGCATACTCATAAAAAAAAATTAAAAAACACCTTAGCAAGTGGGCATCTACAGTTTGGATGTTATTGCCAGTAGATATGCCTATTTTAGGGAGACTGGGTGGTTGTTAGTCTGAACTCTGATGCTTCTGAAGTCTAATAAGATTTTATTGAAAGAAGAACTTTATTTTTTAAATGTTTGAACAGTACACTTTTGAAATCTGATTAGACTATAATGTTGCACTGTCTTCTTTTTGAAGATGGTGTGATGGATATTCTTGCCATTACAAAAGTTTTAGAAGGTTAAATCAGTGAAGGATTCTGTGTACAACTAATAAGTGACAAGTGGTTAATTGGTGATTGAATCACTTGGTTACAACAATAAAGTTTCAGAGAAAATTGGTTCTTCTATCAGAGGCATAACTAAACACTGAAAGGCAAATAGCCACTTATCTAATTAGCTTCAGATGTAAGTGGCAATGTTTCAGACTTCCAAATGCCACTTAAAAATCATAGTTGCAAACATGTTTTCACCTTTCATGTAGACCAATTGGAATTCAGTTACCTAACAACCATGCATTTTTCCTAAAAGAAATTGCTTTTACCGGACAAATTTGTTCTTTCTTTCTCTCTCTCTCTCTCTGAGGCCAGAAAACCAAGACTGCAGAAGCTTGGGTGTTTTGAAACAATATAATGTTGCTTTGAGTTTCCACAGTAATCTGATGTCTAAAAAAGTTTTTACTGGTTATGCCTGTCTGTAGTGAGATCAGTAAATGAAAGCAGCAGCATTTTTGACTTTTGAGCTCCAGACATTCCATTCTTTTAGGGGTCTTTACGCATTTTTTCAATGTTTTAGGGAGATACCGTCTTGATGGATGAGTGGTAAAACTAGAAGGGACAGGGTCAGAAAGGAGGTAATGTGAAGGAACCTAGGAGTCGCTTCAATAGGTTTTAAAATGAGAGAAATTAGGCTGAGATGGTTTGGTCATGTGCATAAAACATCATCTACAGAACCTGTTAGGAAAAAGTGATCTGTTACAAGTTGAGTGGGAAGGGCTTAGATTCCATAGGAAGCTTCAGAACCTAAAAGAGAAAATCAAGGAGTGGAATCTTAATAAGTTTGGGAGATTAGAAGAGAGGAAGATAAATTTGATAAGTAGAATTGAAGAAATAAATAAAAAGGAACTTATAAAAAAAAAAAGAAATAAATAAAAAGGAGGAGTCAGGGTTGGTGGAAGCAGGGGATAAGGAAGAGAGATTTAATTTGAGAAGAGAGTTGGAAACTACACTCCTAAGAGAGGAAATGATGTGGAAGCAGAAATCAAGAGTGCATTGGATCAAAGAAGGGGATGGGAACACAAAATACTTTGACATGATTGCGAACGGAAGGAAAAGGAAGAATCTGATCTCTATATTAGAATTGGAGGATGGCATAATAACTAATCATGATGAAATTGCAAAGGCCTTGGTGGATCATTTTAAATCGATTTTCAGAAGGCTTCTATCAGTAAGATGGAAGTTAGAAGGATTAGACTGGCCAGTTTTAGAAGGTACTGTAAGCAGTAACTTGGAAAAAGAATTTGAGGTGGATGAGGTAAGGAAGCAATCTTTTCTATGGACCACTCTAAAGCACCAGGGCCCAATGGATTCTCTATGGCTTTCTACCAGGATTGTTGGGAGTGGATTAAGGGCGATCTTATGCGAGTCTTTGAGGAATTTTATCACAGAGGGATTGTTAGCAGGGGGTAAATGCTACTTTTGTCACACTGATCCCAAAGAAATCTGGTGCTTGCCATCCCAAGGATTTCAGGCCAATCAGCTTGGTAACAAGTCAGTACAAAATCCTAGCCAAGGTTCTCTCTCTTCTGTTAAAAAAGGCCCTCCCGTCAATAATCTCTCAATTCCAAGGTGCTTTCATCCAAGATAGACAAATTTCAGACCAAATACTCATTTCCAATGAATGTGTGGAGGATTTCAAGAAATCAGGTAAGAAGGGTATTGTGTGCAAGTTGGATCTAGAGAAAGCCTACGATTTTGTGGATTGGGAGTTCCTGATTGACAGTACGGATTTGGAGTAAGATGGTGCAAATGGATTAAGGGTTGTCTAAAATCTTGCCACTTCTCAGTTCTAGTAAATGGTGTAGTCAAGGATTTCTTTGGGGCCCAAAGAGGAGTGAGACAAGGGGACCCACTTTCTCCCTTTCCTATTCACAATTCTAGTAAAGATGCTTAGTAGACTGATTTTGAGGGCGGATGAGAGGGGTCTTTTAAAGGGTGGAGAATAGGATGGGAAAGAGTGGTGGTAACTCACCTACAATTTGTGGATGACATCAGTATCTTTTGTGAGAGTGGAGGCGAGTTAGATGCAAGAAACCTAAAGGTGCTGGTGAATCTATTTGAAAAAGTGACAAATCTAAAGGTGAACCTCAATAAAAGTGTGGTGGCGGGGATCAACTTAGCTCTAGGGAGCTAGGCTGTTTACGGAGTGATTGCCCGCTAAGGTATCTAGGTCTTCCCCTTGGGGCAAATCGTAGAAACCTTGAGTTTTGGAACCCAGTAGTGGAAAGGTTTGAAAGGAAGTTGGCGGTGTGGAAAAGGAACTACATTTCTTTTGGGGGTAGGATTACTCTCATTAAGTCAACCTTAGCAAATCTTTCGGTGTATTACCTCTCGGTGTATTGCATGCCTCAGGCTATTGAGAAGAAGTTGGAGAGGATAACGAGGGACTTCTTGTGGGAACCGGGTGATAAGAAGAAAGATCGTTTAGTAAAATGGGAACTAGTGAATAGGAGGAAGGAGTATGGAGGCTTGGGATTAGGAGATTGAAGGAAAGGAATAAGGCGTTACTAGGAAAATGGTTATGGAGATTCCCTTGCAAGACGGACAGGTTGTGGCTAGCATACATGGGCTCTTAGAGAGAATGGTTGGGATGCTGGAGTATCTTGTAGAGCTTCTAGCGCATCACCATGGAAAGCAATTCACAAACTCCTTCCACTGCTGCTCAGTCATGTTAGGTTTGATCTCAATTCAGGTAACAAAATTAACTTTTGGGAAGATGTGTGGGTGGGTAACTCTCCTTTGAAGACACTGTTCCCCTCAATTTATGCCCTTTCCTCTCTTAAGAACAGACCGGTTGCTGATTTCTTAACCCCTTCTTCCTCCCAGTTTGGTTTTGCTTGGAATTTGTGGCTTCGTAGAGAGTTTCTGAGATGGGTTTGGTGTCCTCTCTCCTTCAGCTGCTAGATGGGGTGTTTCTTGATGCCTCCAAACAAGATACTAGGCTTTGGACCCCTCACCCCTCTGGAGCCTTCAGTTGTGCTTCCTTTTTCAAAAGTCAAAACCTTGTCTACTTCTGCTCAACCTGGGGTACTATTTCCAGTCCAAGAAGTTTGGTGTCGCCCCATTCCCCCCGAAAATGAGTGCTTTTTGTTGGGAGGTCTACCATGGTGCAATTAACACCTGTGATCTGATGCAGAGGAAGAGGCTTGGCTGGTGTCTTTCTTCTAATTGGTGTTGTTTGTGCGAGTCAAGTGGTGAAACTGCTTTTCATATTTTTGTCTCCTGTCCTGTTGTTAGCTGTATTTGGGACTGGTTTTTCTCTCTCTTTGGATGCAGGTGGGATACCCTGATGAGTTTGGAAAGGCTATTCGACTCCTCCACTTCTAGATGGACAAAAAGAAGAGGTAGAATGCTATGGAGATGCACTTGGGCAGCAGTGCTTTGGGTGATATGGGAGGAAAGAAATCTGAGAATCTTTGAAGAAAAGCAAAGATGCAAGAAAGTGCTGATAGAAGGGATCATGATAAAGGTGATTTTGTGGGTAAAACCTGTGGGATTGTTCTCAGATTTTACTGTGGATGATATCTTCAGAAATTTGAGGACAGTAGCTTCCTCTTCATCAACTAAAAAGAATGTTTTGAGAGAGTGGGATTCCCCTGATTCTGTCTTCCTCAAATTAAACTTTGATGGAAGTAGTTTTGGCAACCCAGGAATATCTGGAATTGGAGGGGTGATAAGAAATGATAAAGGGGCTGTTGTGAGGATGTTCTCAGGTCCTATTGGAAGGGGAGACTCCACTACAGCTGAACTAAAGGCAGTGGTTTTTGGGATACAAAAGGCTATGGAGTTGGGAGTGAGAAAACTGGTTGTGGAAGGCGATTCCAAAGTGGTCATAAGCTGGTTAAAGCAAAATGAAAAGACTCCCTGGCTCTATATAAATGAAATTAAGAAGTTTAAATGCTTTTCCAAGGACATGCAGTTGTTAATACAGTGGACTCCAAGAGCGGCAAATGGCTTTGCAGATCAGCTAGCAAAACAGGGGGTTAACAGGGAACATTGTTTCTGGGCTCAGTTGTAAGGCTGGATAATTAAAAGTCGATAGTTGGCAAACTCTAAATTCTAGTGCGGTA